GGTTTATTGTTTTATGTTATTTATTAAAGCTTATCAGCACGACTCACCTTGCACACCAGTCAATTCCAACTCCACTACGAACTACTTCCCGCAGGCTTTTCACAATAGAACCACGTTAAGTCTCCATCAGCATAACGTCTCCATATTAACTAACTGTGTTAAATCTAACTGCAYGTCACTGAAGAGGTGTTTACTAGGGGTGTAAGAAAATATCGATACACTGAAATATCGCGATATTTCATTTTCCGATACTGTATCGATATTCTAAAGCCCTGTATCGATTTTTTATTAAGGTTTAAAATGTCAACCTTCTTGCCAACTGTTCATTTTTATGTTGTAGTTCAGCCTCTGACCACTAGTTGGCAGCAGTGAGCCAGCCATTTGGCTCCTCTACCTCTTGAGCGCCAGGGAGTAAGGGTAGCATTAGCATTGTAAGTAAGCATTAGTTTTTTTTAAGTTAGAGGTTTTTATTTAATAGAATTTTTGGACAAAAAAAATCGCAGTATATCACAATATATTGCCTTGCTTACAGTATCGCAATATATCGGGATATATCGTATCGTGACCCCTCTGTCATGATATGTATCGTATCGCCAAATTCTTGCCAATACACAGCCCTAGTGTTTACTACATTCAGCGACAGCAAAAACGGGATTTTTTTTTAAACGTCAGTCAATATAAGCAGTGGAATCACCACCCGGGCTGCAACTAGCTGCTCCAAACATTAGCATGCTAACGCACATAGCGGTGCAGCAAGGAAAAATGTCCCCCGGGAAACAACAGTTCACTGGCGGCCGCGACGAAACGTTCCGCTATTTAAACCGGTATATCCGGTATTCAAAAAATTCATATCGTAACAAAAATAAAAACCGGTATTCGGTACAAAACGGTATACCRCCCAGCACTACTGGACAGGATGGATTTCTTTAATCTCTGTGCTGCATTTTAGGCGCTCACATTTACAGAGTAACTCGATCCAAAGTTRTAGGATGTTCTTGAGTTTTTTAGAGTGATGGAGTTAATATGAGGAGCTAGCTCTCAGGAGTTTGTAGGATCATCTGGCTGAGTGGTTGATTCTTAAGATAATGTTTCCACTCACAGCTGTTTGTTTGTTTGTTTGTTCCAGCATGTCTCTGTATCCATCCCTCGAGGACCTCAAAGTCGACAAGGTCATCAAGGTAAGAGMAGTGTTGTGTTGTGGATTTAAGAGTTAAGCTGTAAAGAGTTGATGTCTTCTATGAGCACAAAAAGATGTATTGTCCTTCCTAGGAGTGGGTAGCTTTGACATTTGAATTGATTCGGTACCAATATCAGGTACCTGGGTATCGGTGCTCAACGGTACTAATTTTCTGTACTTTGTGTGTGTGTGTGGTTTTTTTTTTATTATACACTTTTTTTATTTAACATTTGTTTCTCAATATATAAAATTTTACAAATATCAAGACAACATCCGACTCTTTGTATTGTAACATCAGTTATTTAACAAATTTATTTAAAATGAAAGACTGTTTTGTCTTATTGCACAAATTAAAATCCAAAAAATCTTCAAGTTGGGTGCTTGTACTCCTTCAGGTCAGACGTGTTCGGTGCATCAGGAAGCGCCTCTATATGCAAAAATACATGTACCCATATCGAACTGTTCAATACAGTGCTTTAGGTTCAAAACACACTATGTATGGAATAATACAGATTTTTAAAATTTACTTTATCAACTTGTCTTCTGAAGATGCTCTGTGTTGAACGATCAGCGGATCTGTGTTCGACTACTCCACCTAGGCTGCATTGTKGAGCACAGATCCACTGAGAAACTTGCTGTTTCAGCAACATTTAATTTAAAAACTGGACTTTTGAGGTTACCTATTAAAGGTTACGCCAATGTGGTCAAAATGATGCGTTTAGGTAACGAAACATGGTACCTTTTTTTATTTTACGTGAATAGATACTCTGTAGTACCGACAGAATTTGGTCAGTACTTAGAAGTATTGAATTCRGTACCCATCCCTAGTYCTTCCTTTAAATATGATCCAGTCTTTTGTTTCCTGCTGAAGAGAAAAGCATCTAATGCCAAAGTCAGACAACCTTCATTTCTGTGTGTGATTGTTCCCAGGCTCAGGCCCAGTTTGCACAGAGCACCACCCCCATGCCGGCCCTCACTGAGGGAACCTACCAGCCTGAGCCCGTCACAGCTGGGATGCCACGATCCAGTGAGCAGTTTTAAATGTTTTCTCTTATCAGTCTGCTGTGGTTCCTTGTGTTTGTCTGTCCTTGACTCTGAGCCTGCGTAGTTCCTGTAAAAGAAGGTGAATAAAAACATGTCTATATGGGACAGGGGTGGTAAAAGGGATTTTAAAAAGCAGGAGTAAGCGAGCACCTTCTGTAATTTGTCTGTCACACAGGATGTGAATCATTTCTGACTTTAGCGTTTCCTCTCTCTCTGCGTCCCCAGATCCCGTTTTCCCCGCTCTTCTAAACAGTCGTGTCCATTTGGATGCAAAGTCTTGTGTGTTTTTGGTCTTTTGTTTTCACCTCAGCAGAGCTCCCTCTGAGTCACCATGGTGACTGGCTCTGGCAGTTGTGTTGGGATAACACCAGGGGAGGTGAAGGAGAGAGACTCAGGGGTATTTAAAAAAAACAGGGCAGAAGCAGAGGGAGTCAAAATAGGGCAGAATGACAAGAACATTAAAGGGAACCCAACTAGTTGTAACATTAGATATTATTAAACATTTACTTCAAATATAAAACAAAGACTAAAAATACTGTAGGATGTTTAATTTTTATAAATTAAACAAATATATATTGTCACACAGGCAGCTATATATGTAGCTATATAGTATTAGTGCCAGAGCTAATAGATATACAGTGTGGCTACCTGGCGTTAGCAATATATATATAT